ACGTGGGAGCAAATAACAAAGAACGAATAGAAGAGGTTATCCTAAGACAAATCGATAATGTTAGTACAAAGAGTTATATAGTGCCCAACGAGTCATTCTTTAGAGCAGCATGATTGTCTGAAATGATGATGCGCTATTATTAAAAGTGAAGTTATATCAGAAAATTTGATGCATCATTTTTACCTTCAGATGACTATAGATTGTTTTGTTTCATGTTCGTAGCACATGGTTTAAACAAATTCGTTTCAAACCCAATTCCAAAATCATACATGACTGTGACGTAAGTTGATACTCTCCAAATGAAATGCCCGTAATGTCCTTTTCCTCTAGACTTTTCTCTTTCTTTGCTCTTTGTACTAACATTATCGATTTGTCTTAGGATAACCTCTTCTATTCGTTCTTTGTTATTTTCTCTCACGTGTAACCTAGAGCGGAATTGTTGATGTACCCTTGTCGCTTTGTAATGGGCTTTCCTCTTTCCTTGTACCTTGCGTCAACATCATCAATAAGCTTTCCGATTTGATCTTCGTACTCATTTATTACAGTTGTTTTCTCGTACATGTAACCGGAAATGGAACTGTTGATCTGCCTTTTTCTCTAAATCCATATTTCCCTTATTGTAATTACTATACTTTTTCAAGGTCATTGTATACGAAGAGATAGTATATAAGAGCTGAAAAAAAGTACAGTAGGCGTGCGATTTTATTGATAACAATAAAGCGTCAAGAGGACAGGCTTCCAACTGTGTCTTATACACAAAAAATCGTTACAATTACATTTTACACAATTTTGTTGTTTTAAAGAATGACAACCGTCATATTAACTGTGCTAATCAATTAGAGAACATTGTGCAAAGCACGAATTCGGTGTAAGAAGAATATAGGAGAACTGAAAAAGTCAAGTCAGATTTGCCCCATGTCTAAGTCAAGTCTCACTAGTGAGCTGAAAAGCTTTTTAACCTGATTTGGAGAAAAATCTTTGGAGAACCAATCTGGCTTTATTGGAGCTGCAAAAAACTTTTAGAAATATTACTTGACTTGGAAAGAGAAAACTTTCTGGTACGAGTTGATTTGGTTTGACTTCGACTCGGAAAACCTCTAATTTGCCAGATTCTGCAACACAAGATTCAGACTTCTAATCTATATCATGCTAAGGCACGTTTTGGTCACATTTTCGGACTATTTGTAGTTTGTTTGCAACAGACTTTTTGTGACGTATCTGAAATAGCTTAAATATATAAGCAGAAAGTCATGTTTTCTTCTAAGATGTGGTAATAATAATATGAGTAAAAAAGGTGAGAAACTCGTTTTCTTAGTATACGAAATTCGTACATTTTGAATATCTTTGTGTAACTGAAAGATTTCTCGGCCTCTGAAGAATTACATGATGAATCTTGTGGTGAAAAGATTCAAATCTAGAAACTAAACACCAATTAAAATAGCTCAGAACAAATCAGAGGATACCCTAACTATAAATTGCAAGATACTCTTGTTTAAAACTTACTTTAGAGTATTCACCCATTATGGCAAGAAGATTGGCGATAGTAGTACCTTGATTTTCACATCGTTCGCTTTTCTTGATTTCAATGTATCTATTGAGAATTTCAGATCCTTTGTCAGTCGCAGTTAAGAATACGCGAATAATCTGTTTGGGTATCACATCCGCGTTGACATCATTTTCAATGTCGCCCAGCTCAAATACAGAATTTAGATTAAAAAGGACCTCCTGTTCCAACGGATGTGCACTCTTTTGCGAAACATCAGCAGCATGGACAGATGTAAGACGTGAAGGGTTGTAAGTGATGTCAAAGAGTACCTCATGTGCATAACGTTTAGCAACGTCCTCACTTTTACTTGTTGATAAATAACCGTTTATGCAGATAAGAGAACCTTTGGAAGCAGCCATCAGGTGTTCTAAGTCAATTTTCGACATATGTCGACCGTGATAAAGATGAAAGACAGCGTCACGCGGTTGAAGCTGAACTTCTTCATTGTGACAAAGTTGATCAGAGAGATCATGCACGTATGCGCGAAGATTATATAAAGCGTCCAAATCCTGACTCTTCAGCGCTTTATTGAGAATCATTGAGATTTTGTATTGTGCATCAGTGTATAATACTATTGCCGCATCAGCACGATATTCTTGTACTACTAATTCCAATATGCTAACTCCTATCTCATTTGGATGATCACGATAAAAGGCCGTTAATGCTGCTTTCATGTCGTTGATTGCACCCATTTCATAGGCTGTTGAGCAAAGATGTTTTGCAACCAATTGATACCAAAGAAAAGCAGCTCCCCCATCCTTCGTTAAATTGCGAAACGATGGTTCACGTTCAATAAATGAAAGAAACGAGTTTGAGCTCTCGAATACTCTAGTTTCAGTCATTTTCTTTTCATCAACGGTATTATTGAGAAGGGAAAATGTTGCAGATGGCAATACGTCGTATTTCTTAGTGTCGATGCAGAATGCAAGAAAAAAGCAAATGAGCGCAACAACAATTTTCACCCTTCCATTACTTTAATGCACACAGAACATTAAAAGTCTATTAGTTGCACATATACCAAAGACGCTCTTCGTGATTGTTTACAAACACGGGTACCGCATAAGGTGATTTCCATTTTCGCCGAATTTTTTTTTCGCCGACGACGATTTTCGCCGAATTCCAACTTCACCGAAAGAATTTTTCGCTGACGGAGACATTGGAATGAGTGCACATGTGGGTGTAGGTGTAAGTGTGGGTGTAGGTATACGTGTGAGTGCGTGTGTAGGTGTGGGTATGGTTCAGGGTCATTAAATGAGCGAAAAATTCTTTCGGAGAAGTTGGAATTCGGCGAAAATCGTTGTCGGCGAAAATGGACTAATTCGTTTTAATCATCTTTCTACGTATGCTCGACTTCTTATCTTTAAATTTTGACATTGCCTGAATCTCATGATGTGATACCGATTAAAGCAGAATGAAAAAAAGACGACGATCGTGAAACAATCTCATTCTTATTTTTTTTTCTTCTGATTTTATCTATGATTTATCACTCCATTCCTTGATCTTATCCAAATACCCTATAAATCATTTCAAAGATGAAAAAAATTATCTTTTGTTTTGACAAACAGAATCGAACAATGATGTGGTTGTTGTTCGTCAGGTTTGTTGCCGTCCTGATCACTGCTGCAAGCAATAAGTTAAAGTGTTCTAATCCTCAATGGATTTATATGTAAGTGACATTCTTATTATTGTTATTTATTTGCTTTCCTTTTTGCTTCAAAGCATTTTGCGCATACATACATAATCCTTACCATCTTTCATATCGGCCATTATCCATTCTCTCGAAACAAGAACAATGTTCTACTGGATACTCGTTCTTTTCTTGATACTTTATGATTACGGTCATGCTCAAAAACTCATAGGCACTCATATTATAAGTAGATGTTTACGGTTTGCTTTGTACTAATCGATAGAGTAGTTGTTTCGCCATGGGGATCGATCACCCTTTGTTCAATATGCCTCGGATCCAAATGATCATTTTTTCTGGTCTAATGGTCTTGGCCAATTGACACGTCGTGAGCAACTACAGCACATTCGTCTTGGTCAATATTTTCGAGAGCGCTACTCAGCTCTGCTCAATTCCACCTGTAAGACTTCAGAAGTATATTATTATCTTCTATTTATGCATCTCTCTCTCTCTCTCTCGTACTTCAGGTTAACTATTCGTAGTTCAGACTTAGATCGAACATTCATGTCGACCTATTCGACTCTTGTCGGTCTCTATCCTTCTTCAAACAATAACAAATCGGCATGGCATTGGGTGACATCAGATGATTGGCCAGAAGGTCTTCCGTGGCAGCCCATCCCTGTGCATACTGTGTCTACCTCTAACGATCACGTCTGTAGTTTTCTTCGAAAGATGATCAGACAATTGCGTATTGTTCTAGTTAATGGGTATCAGCAATTGTGCCCGGTTCGACGAGTTATTGGCTGCAAGTACTAAGAGCGAACAGATTCAAAGTATCAACAATCAGTTTCGAGTGAGTTTATATCGCTTCTCGATATAGAGAATCCAAGTTTTGTTTCGTTCATAGGATTTCTTTCGATTTCTCGAAAACAATACAGGCCAATCAGTTCCAGATTTATCCGTTGCGTTTTACATTGCCGAGGCGATTATTATCGAGGTAAGGAGGAGACCATGGTACGAACGCATTTCTTGAAGAAAGATTCATTTTTCTCGCACAGAACTTGTACAATGTGGCTCCTTCATGGGTCACTCCGTCTATTCTTAATGAACTCCATCAAATACTCAATTTATTCGAGTATCATGTGTACTATTTGCCCGAAATCAATCGTCTACGCGGTGGTGAGCTTCTGAGGTCTATTTTTTTTCTTGTTAAAATTGACAATTATTGTCAGGTCCATTACTGCGCGATTTAATGGACAATGTGAAAAATTTGATGTCGCAAAGTTCAACAGCACGAAAGGCCAAGATCTATTCTGGAGTAAGGATCTGAATACGGGAGACAATTGGCTGAGTTTTTATGCGTATTATAGCATAGTACAACCATATCTCCTGTTCTCTCGTTTTTCGGTGTCAACTATCCTCATCTTCCTGCCTATTGCAGTGCACTCTTTTTCGATCTCTACCAACAAGGTATGTCGGAAGAAGATAGACATGCCATAGTTGGAACCATATACTGATTCTCTCTCTTTACTCCTAAAGCGACAAAAAGAAAGACGTCGTTCGTCATTTTCTCTTATTCCGCTTTAGCGAAAAAGAAAAAAGAACCGGTATACTGGTGTTAAACCTTGGACTCGGTTTTTTAGATAACAATTTATATGCCATTCAACTTGAATATTTGAACACGACCGACGGTCGAACGACTCATCTCATTCAACTACCAGGTAACAGCCGAGAAAGAGAAAGGCTTTTCTAATTAAGCATGTTTACAGGATGTCCAAGTACAATGTGTCCGGTGACGACCTTCATTCGGTTGTATGAAGACAAATTACCATTAGATATGGAGAAGGAGTGTCGAGCTACTCGCACGAAACGTAAGAGAAACTATCGGTGTAGAAAATATAAGTGTTTAACTTGTTTCAGGTATATAATCGTCGCGTCTCTTCGTGGTTATGATCAGTCGTGTTCTATTCTGTCTTAAATAAATCAAGTTCTTTGTGACTTTAACATTCTTATGGTACCCAACCACTCTGTAGTACAATGCGAGTACAACAGTACCTTTGAGTGCAGAGAAGTACCGTGAAGTACAAGGAACATATTTCGCTGTATTCCTACGGATTTTTTCATACTCCTAGGAGTCATTGTATGGTGGAAAACATAGTTCCAGATTGTTTTGAAAAGAGCGAGGCTAAAAATTAGGCAGAAAATCTGAAAATTTTGGGAGAAAGTGCCTCATCTGACTTTTCTGGCATAAAGGGTGTGGGTGGGGATTTAGGGTGTTGGTGTGAGTGTGAATGAAAAGAAGACAAATAACCACACCCAAAAATCTGCTTCTGAATCGTTCCGGGTCATCTGGTTCTTACAATAACAACAGTCTAGTCTATGACAACATGGGTGAGATATCCGAGACCACGTGAATTTTACAAAAGAGCACTCAAAAGAAAAGTAAAAGTTCTGGGTGGAGTGTTTGTCAGCATTAGTGACTACTCGAGAGCACTTTCTATTTTCCAAAAATCACTTTCACCAACGCATCCTTATATAAAAAGCATGAACGATAATATTGCCTATGTAAAAAGAAGCTGTAAAATTTTTCTCCTCGCTTGTTCAACAAACTCGTCTGAATTCCTATTTATTCCTTCTGGCTTGTTTGAATCTCTATCGCGTATGCGTGGGTGTGAATGTATATGAACTGAAGAATCACATTCACCCACACCAAAGCCTCGAACAATAATTCGAATATCCTTATCGAAACTTCATAATGCAGTACAGGGTTGGAAATAATATTATTCCAGGGTGGTAACGCTACAATTCTGAATACCAACCCTAATGAATTTTATACCAAATGAAAGCCCGTAAAAAATGGGGTTTCCTGATACCAAATTGTAAGGGTTCTGACATATTTTTTTCTAACAAACTTTCAAAAGTCATGATAATTCACTCATATGAAGTATGCGAAAACCGGTATATCAGGTGAAAGTCGACCTAATTACTTTATGAAATAGTTTATTTCTCCATGATTTAACAAATACAATCAATAACTGGTATGGCGACCATTAGCGTTCTTTACCGCACGAAGCCGNTAAATCAACATTTCAACATTCCGTTGGCCTATAGTGAGGCAAAGACCATCGTTAGAGGGTATCGATGGCGACTCAGATCAAACCTGAGACGGATTGTAATATTTTTTAAAAATTTTAAATATTGAATCGAACGCGTCTAGACGCGATTCAATTTATAATCGCGTCTAACCGCAACTTAGTTTGGAACCGCGTCCCCAGTGAAACATTTCCTGCGTCTGAACGCGATTGGAGAAAATCGCGTCTAGACGCGATTCAGTTTAGAACCGCGTCTCCAGTGAAACATTTCTTGCGTCTAGACGCGACTTTTTCCGACCGCGTTTAGACGCGATTTTCTTCAACCGCGTCTGAACGCAGCAAATGTTTCACTGGAGACGCGTTTTATTGCGTTTCTCTGCTGCATTTTACACGCAACAAAACGCAACTCAGACGCGTTTTTATCAAAAAAAAATTTACATAGGGGATGTAATGTTTTTTCCTCTTCGATTGCTTTGTCGTCATTGGACTTTTATACAAGTCATAAGTGTTTATTTAGTGAGTCGAAAGCTTGTTTTTCTTCCCACTTTATACTTTCTGTTCCATATAAATAGATGTTAACGTCAAAATTGAGATTATAGTCATATAGTTTATATTTGCATTTTAATTAGTTATCATGGCAACACTTGTAAATTATCGGCGCACCTTCATGACGAGTAATGTATAATGTATTGAGTTCCTGTATGCACTGCTTCTTGTTTCAGACAACATTCTTAATAGGTGACACGGCATATTAAAGTACTATTTTCCAATGAGTAGGTGAGATTTAGTTGTTATTTAAAGGCTAAACTTTTCGTCAGGAGAATAGAGATATTGTAAGAGCTTCGTATCTTTGCCAGAATATTATTATTGAATGTTCGACAAACATTGAGTAATAGTCATTAAATCTGATAAAAGCAAAAATTATTCATATGAATTCTTTTTCTTATAGATAATTCAGTGTTAAGTATAGCTGAGAAATATTTTCAATAAAGAACAAATAATTATAAAGTGAGTAACTTGGTATTAATCGTCACTTACATCAATGTATCAAATTGTGAAATATTATTAGTACTCTTACGAATCACTGGATTACTAATCATCGTGTGTAATAATTTTTCATCGAATT